CCACAAGAGATAGGCAATCTTAAGAGCCTCACTGAATTGTACATGGATTACAATCAATTGTCAGAAAAAATACCTCTAACAATCGGAAATTTGCGCAAATTAGGCAAACTGTCCTTTGCTCGAAACAGACTCTCTGGTCAAATCCCAGATGACATTGGGAAACTTGTTCAGCTGAATAATCTAAATTTGGATTGGAACAACTTGAGTGGAAGCATACCTGTGAGTATAGGGTATTGTACTCAACTCGAAATACTCAACCTTGCTCACAATTCACTAGATGGAACAATACCAGAGACGATCTTTAAAATTTCTTCACTTTCAATAGTGTTAGACTTGTCATACAATTACTTGTCCGGAAGCATATCAGATGAAGTAGGCAACCTTGTCAGTCTGAATAAGCTCATCATTTCATACAACAGATTGTCTGGAGATATCCCATCCACTCTTAGTCAATGCGTGGTTCTAGAGTATCTTGAGATGCAAAGCAATTTCTTTGTAGGAAGCATTCCGCAAACATTTGTGAACATGGTAGGCATCAAGGTGATGGATATATCTCATAACAATTTATCAGGAGAAATTCCACAGTTTCTAACGTTGTTACATTCTTTGCAAGTTCTCAACTTATCATTCAATAATTTTGATGGAGCAGTGCCAACCAGTGGTATTTTTGCCAATGCTAGTGTGGTATCAATTGAAGGAAATGATTATCTGTGCACAAAAACTCCAATGAGAGGTGTGCCTCTTTGTTCAAAATCGGTTGACAAGAAAAGGAACCATAGGTCATTGGTTCTAGTCCTAACGACAGTAATACCAATTGTTGCTATCACTTTCACTTTGTTATGCCTTGCAAAATATATTTGGACGAAGAGAATGCAAGCAGAGCCACATGTACAACAGCTGAATGAGCACAGGAACATAACGTATGAAGATGTTCTAAAGGCCACAAATAGATTCTCTTCAACTAACTTACTTGGCTCAGGATCATTTGGAACAGTTTATAAGGGCAATCTGCATCTTCCTTTCAAAGAAAAGGACAATCTGCATCTTCAGGAAGAACATATCGCCATCAAGATTTTTAACCTTGATATCCATGGATCTAATAAGAGCTTTGTTGCCGAGTGTGAAACCCTACAAAATGTCCGCCACCGAAATCTCGTGAAAATTATTACTCTATGCTCTTCTGTGGATTCAACTGGGGCAGACTTCAAGGCTATAGTGTTCCCATATTTTCCAAATGGGAACCTAGATATGTGGTTACATCCAAAATCCCATGAACATATTAGTCAAACAAAGGTGCTGACTTTAAGACAAAGAATTAATATAGCCTTGGATGTAGCACTTGCTTTGGATTATCTTCATAACCAGTGTGAATTGCCATTAGTACATTGTGATTTGAAGCCAAGCAATATTCTGTTGGATAGTGACATGGTTGCACACGTCAGTGACTTTGGCTTAGCAAGATTTGTATACACTAGATCAAACGCACATCAATATACATCAACAAGCTTGGCTTGTCTAAAAGGATCTATTGGATATATTCCACCAGGTGAGATAAGCTAATTTTTAAGTTGATAATTCTGTTTAATGATACACGTGGTGTCTGGTTTCTAATTTTATGACTTCTGTAAATCTAAATGCAGAGTATGGCATGAGCAAAGATATCTCAACCAAGGGTGATGTCTACAGCTTCGGAATCCTTCTCTTAGAAATGGTAACAGGTAGTAGTCCTATTGATGAAAAATTTAATGGTGGCACTACCCTGCATGAATTTGTTGATGCAGCATTGTCCAATAGCATTCACGAGGTTGTTGATCCCACAATGCTACAAGATGATGTCAGTGTAGCCGATGTAATGGAGAGGTGTGTCATTCCATTGGTTAAAATAGGCCTCTCATGTTCAATGGCATTGCCTAGAGAGCGGCCAGAAATGGGGCAAGTTTCTAACATGATTCTTCGAATCAAGCATGCAGCCTCAAACATGAGCGTCAAATGAGGCAAATTAAGATTTGGCAATTTCATGTATGGAAGAATAATGTAATGTAACATATTTGTAGCTTTTGTTTTGTTTTCTAATCCAATGTAGTTAGTGTTCAAATGAGGCAAATTAAGATTTGGCAATTTCATGTATGGAAGAATAATATAATGTAACATATTTGTAGCTTTTGTGTTGTTTTCTAATCCAATCAATGTAGTTAGTGGTGTTAGCATTCGCCACATTCCTCTTAATTCTTCAAATTGAATATTTCTACCAGCACAGTTCAAGCCACCAGAGCTCAGTCGATTTGCAGAACTAGCATCAGACCAAACCAAGTGGATTTGGTGTCAGTTAGTACCAAATCAGGCGTGAATCCAATCCAGGGCAAAATTCGCCCAATCAAGAGCAGGGTGGAGAGGGGATGCACACAGATTGATCTCCCGCAGCCTAATCCAGCCCAAAATCCCACAATAAACCAATCAGAGAGACGGGTGAATGAGCACGTACCTCCTAGCCGCGGAAGCCCTAGTTGCCGCGACGGCCCGCTTCCTTCCCAATCCCAAGCGCCGCCCGCCTTCTGCCGCCGCTTGGACCTCGGCAACCCCAGCACTCGGCTGGCACTGCGCCGGTAACCGGTCGCCGCGCTTTCACCATGGGCGGCGATTCGCCGACGAGCCATGGCGATTGCCGTTGTCGCCGGCGGGGTGCGCGGGTGGGTGGATGGGCGGACCACAGGAGTAAATCAGGAAATAAGTTCACGGAGATGCGAGATTTTCTAAGTTCCCTTAACCGCAAAACCAGAAATCTTCGCCCCTCAACTTTACAAAACCGTCTAATTTGGTCCCAAGGCAGTACACATGGCTAGTTTTGATGATGTGGCATCCTAGTCAGCAAAAATATTTAAATAAATATGTGGGGCCCACATGTCAGTGAGAGAAAATGATGTGGGCCCAACAACTCTCTTTTTTTTTTTTCTTTTTCTCTTCTCTTCTCAACTTCTCAGCTCTCACGTGCAGGCGGGAAGATGGCGGCCGACGGCGGAGCGGGCGCGGTTGCCGGCGCAGCGGGCGCTGCGGCGCGCGGGGAAGAAGCGGGAAAGGGGGAGAGGAGGCGGCCGGCGCGACCGCCCGCGACGGCGGGAGCGGCAGCCGGCGCGCGCCTCTCCCCATCCGGAGCCACGGCGGGTTAGCAAGCGAACGGCGTACTCGCTATCGCCAGCCACGCCGCCTCCACGGCGCCGCGCACCTCCTCGGCGCGACACCGGCAGAGGATGCAGAGGAGAGCGGCCGGGGTGGACGCGTGCGCCGATGGGAGCGCCGGGAGAGGGCTCGACGACGAGCAAGCGGATGGGCAGGCCGTCGATGCTCGCTGCCGCTTCGCCTGCCTCCGGAACGCGCCGCGGAACCCGCCACGGAACGCGCGTCTGTCCAGCCGACGCATCGCCTCCGGCGTCCGCTCCTTCGGCGGCACCGTCCCCAGCTGCCTCGTCTGCCTCCGGCCGCCGCCGTTGTCGTAATGAAACACCCATTAATTAGTTTGCACGCTGCATGCAGCTAGCTAGCCAACCGGATTCATGGGGTTGTCCACCATGCCCTGCCCGACCATGGGCTGGTCCAACACGGGAGGAGGCCGTGCTTCTCCAGCTGCCCACGCAGCCCGACGCCGCTGAACATCAGCAGCTGCAGGCCGCTCAGCATCAGCAGCTGCAGGCTCCCCAGCGTCCCGGTGTGGTCGCGTGCGCCGATGGGAGCACCGGGAGAGGGCTCGGCGGCGAGCGGGAGAATGGGCAGGGAAGGTTCGAGCTACGGCCTGCAGGTGGCTGCGGCCGCCGCCCGCTGCAGGCTCCGCTCTCCGCCGCTCCGCGTGCCTGCTCGCCCGCCGTCGCCGCTAGTAGCCGCGCTCGCCCGTCGCTGCCTGCCGCCTGCTTCGCTCTCCAACGCTCCATCTACCTGCTTGTCCACCGTCGGCACTCGCAGCCACGCTTGCCCGCCGCTGCTCGTCTTGCCTGCTTCGCAGCCGCCGACTCCGCTCTCCGCCGCCGCGGCGACTGCTGCAGCTCTCCCCTCTGCGGCAAGAAAAGGAAAAGAGAAGAAGAAAGGCAGCGTTTGGCTAATGGGATGGGGAAATCATTTCCCACCCATCAAAAGGCATCTTTAAATTCTAACCATTCATTCTCTCTCTTTCATTTAATCCTAACCCTTCATTCATTTCCCAATCTCAGTCCCACCCTCCATTTCCCATTATCCAAACACACCCAAAGAGAAAGGAAGAGGATGATGCTGACAAGTGGGCCCTTACTATTTCCTTCTCACTTACACGTGGGTCCCACATTATTATTTTTATTTTTTTTGCTGACTAGGATGCCACATCAGCGAAACTGGACGTCTATACTGCCTAGGGACTGTTTTTGAACGGTTTTACATAATTGAGGGGTACACATTTCTGGTTTTGTGGTTAAGGGACTTTAAAAAAATCTCGATGTTAAGTTGAGGGACCTCGGGTGAACTTATTCCGAGTAAATCACCATCTTTCTGCAGCCAAGGGCCCATTTGCCGTAAGGCCTAGAAAGCCACGTCGTTTGTGGTGGAATGGGCTGGAACGGCATCAACAACTGTAGGCTATCGGTAACGAATCCATAATAAAAATTATTATAGATTGATATTCTAATGATATAAATTAGCTAGACTTATATAATCTGCCCTAGGTACTAGGTACAGTGAATCAGGAAAGTGTACATAGGTACACCACTGAAGGCTACTACATATGGCGGTTGACGGAGAGATTTCATCACATAGCATTTATTACGATGCGAAGAAGGGAAAGATAACCTAAAGGGAGCGGATGCACAAATGATCAGCATTCGTTTGATCTCCGTATTATCTTACAGAGAGCATAATATCGCAAGTATGGTTGTAATGTTAACTATAGAATAATTACATGAAACTAATACAAATAACTCAAACAAATATTTTACTATATCATAGCGAATTCATTCCAATAGTTGTGATCTAAATTATTGTTTAGCCTAAGCCAAAGGTGGCTACGACAAAAGATAGTAAAAGAAAAACATTTGCAAAAAGGAGTAAAGGACATGAGTGCGCAATATGGCTCCCAAGCTAGCCTGCCGAAAGGGGCCACCGTAGAAAAACTGGTCACCAACAATAGATGTGAAGGTGTAGATATTCTCATTGGTGGAGAAGCCAATCAAATCATTCTCTGCCGACCAAGCTCGTCCTTGCCCATCAATGAACTGAAGGTTTTTCGTGGATACTGCCATATTGCCACCGTCAACTGCCATGTAACCATTGCCCATAGGAGGTGGAAGAGGTGTTGGTTGAAAAGTTACATTAGTAACTACAATGCCTCCAAACCACATATTGATGGCAGAGTAAGATAGACTTTTGAAGAATGACAAAGGGATGCGCCCGACGAGTTCAGGATGCTTGTTATTAAACCCATAGTGCACCAACCAATCCCCTGATGCCATATCCTGCACATCATTATCAAAGAGAAAATAGATTAAACTTTTTTTTCTTGTTCTCGCGTAGGAGTATCATCTACTGATAAACAGGATTAATTTATGGATTGATGAAAACCAACCTTGAATACTTTAAGTGTGATGTATTGCTTGGCTCCATTTGGTTGTGAGATACCAGGGATTGGGTCGCCAGGACGTATGTATGCGCCCCTCTCGGGTCGAAAACCAGGGCAGTCTTCGTCCATATGGGAGGGATCTGTTAACGGAGAGCTAAGATCCGACGTCTTTTTTAAAGAGATAAATGATTATTTTTAGTAGCAGCAAGAGTATCACTAAACAGAATACAAAAGGTCGAATATTATGGATGTGTAAATAAAACCACCTACCTTGCAATAGAGGTCAAAAACAGGGCGTTCATCACCTGGTTTGACCTACGAGGATAGTTAAACGATCAACTAGAAACTGATGCTATGATCTTTAAGAGAAAAATAGGGACAAGAACTAAGAAACCTTCCCTCCAACCAATCTGAAATACTTCTAAACTGGATGCTGGGGCATCACCATTATCAGTTATGATCCAAACTGAACCATAACTGACCAATTGGCCTGGGGTTAACGAGAAGCCATAAACATCCATCGTTGCTATAAATCCATAGCGCACTTCATATGTGTTTGTTATGTACCCAGTCCTCTGGGAAATAAACAACAAGTTAGTTACATAAATAAGTAAAAATAACAAGAAAATTATTTTTCCTCTAAACTTTTCCCTATCCCTTTCATGCTTTTGAGTTTTGTCATCTCTCTTGTATGCCCTGGAGTTCTCATTTTGAACCACTCTATCCATTCAGTTAGTTGAAAAGCTTCTTATAAAATAATTACTAAGGCGAAAGCTTCAGTCATAGTTAATTGAATGAGAGTCGTTTTACAAATCGAAGATAAAAATTTTAAAAGAATCGCAATCAAATTTAATGAAATTTCAAAGAGCAAAAATTCAACAAATAATAATTTGCTTTTCCTATGTTTCCTCTACTTAGAAACCAGAAATTTCTACTTTTAAAACAACTTCAACCAAAATTTTAATATATCTCCATAGCGAGAGATGGTCAAATACCATTTAAAATTTTATCAATTTTAAAAATAATTTCAAAATTAAAATTTGCAGTAATATAATTATCTCCTTTGTTTTTAATCTAAAATTGTTTTTGCCTTAAGAAGTATACCTTTCAAGTTAGCCTCTATGTAAGGAGGTAGTCATTAAAAAAATCTAACGACAACTAATGGAATGGGGACAGAGTAGATCAAAACGAAAACTCATAGGTATAGGCATATAAAGGAGATGATAAAACTTAGGGGTATGGACAGAACAGCGCAAAGATTTCAGGGCACACAAAGAATTTTCTCAAATATAACACCGTATGGCAGGCAATATTAATTCTTGTATGTCAATCTATTTACTAGTATAACACTAGAAAGAGATGACTAAAATGAACCACCATATACGCTCTATCATAACTACTTAAAAAATTCGCAACTTTCTGATCGTCACATCCATATGTCCGTGTCATGCGAGCGTCTTCCCCTGTCTTCCTAGCGCAGTCAGTTTCCGTGGCACATACACCACGCAACAGGCCGCAAGCGATCAAGCCCATAAGCTGTCCGTCTGCATCATCCTCAAATCTTAGGTTCCTCCATCTCATGCGACGCCCTATCCTATTCAGTCTCATGTTCTTATCCTCGCGACGCACAACATCTAACCGAAGATCCTTCAAGAAGGGTTCTGCTGCGTGTATCAATCTTCATTGCGGTTATCAACCAAGTATGAAAATGGAACAGCTGGTAAGAAACATGTTCCGCAAGACGTCGTGGAAATATGCTCAGGAAAGCAGGACATCAACGAACATAATTTAATAAATTTTAAAAATTATCTTTAACCATATAGCAACACACGGGCCATTTTCCTAGTGAGCATAAATATTACTACATTAATATAAAAATAGATACACGTAGCTAATTATAATGGGATCAGATTATAACGGGTTTGATCAATTAATGCAATTATATCCAAACTACAATTATGTCTATAGCAAAACGTGATATGTATGTCCAATGCAATAATACTATTTGCAAAAATAAATATTAGTCTTGATCCATGCAAACGGGTTCGTTTCAAGTAAAGAACTGACCTCATTACCCTTCTCATGAATGATGTAGTATCCGTTAACGAGCTCTTTGCAGACCGCTGTTCCTCCCATTGCACCAACACATTTGCCCTGATGAACCAATCCCAAGAGTATATATGATTTGTAGATAGAAATATAAACAGATCGATACTGCTTGCAAGCCGCTTCCATTGCCAAATGCAGAGGAAAGAAGCAGGAAGCAGGTCAGAAGAACGCCGACGAAGAGAACTATGGCCATCTCGGTGGTCAATAATAATAGGTGGTCGTAGTATGATTCGAGGCTTTCGATCTGTATATATAGGTGCAACAAGCACCGGTGTTGTGAGGAATAATTGTCGTGTATCTTTTTTACATGGAAGGTGTTTTAAGAAAGAATATGTATCTTTCCTTCGAAAGAAAAGTTGTTCACGAAAGAAAACAAACTGTCCTTAATTGACTAATATATTTATATATGTGTGTATATTTTTTAGATAATGGAAAAAATTCCAGCATTTGCTTTAAAGAATATATGTGGGTATATAGACTATAGCAAGGAAAATTATAGAAGTTCGGGGAGCTGTTACTCCCTTCCTATCCCTTTCATGGCTCTAACATGCCTCTTATAAACCAGGCCAACTAGCTAAGTGGCTGACAATGGGAACATTTTTTTTAAAAAAAAATTAAGCCAATAAGAATTTTTAAAAATTTAAATTTAAAATTAATTTAAGGATATTTTTAACGTATTTTTTTTCAAAATATGTATATATAATTTTTACTTATGAATTTTGGAGAAAACATATTTTTTAAAGCGTGAAGTAAATAATCCAGTGAATAAGCGAAAGGGCTTATAACCTAGTGGTTACAAGAGCCTCAGTAGCACCTAAGATCCTGTGTTCGACTCCCCATGGGAGCGAATTTTCTAGGATTTAGGCGTTGTACCCGTCGACAGCGAGGCGTCTGTGGTAACTTCGTCAACGCTGTCGTTTGTGGTAACTTCGTCAATCTCAAGGATTTGTCGGCCCAGTGTTCGAAGATGCATATAGAGATAGGGTTTGTGTGCGCGCGTTTATAGGAGTGAGTGCGCTTGCGTTGTTAGTATCTGTGTTGTACTGTGTAATTCTAAAAAAATAATCTAGTGAATAAGCTAAAAAGAAGGCATTTGTAAGTTGTGACGATGCAAAGGAAGGGAGATAACGTAGAAGAGAGGGATGCATGCATGCATTGACATCCATTGATCCTGCACTATCTTATGGTCAGCTTAATATGGAATATCTTAAGTATTAAGTACAATTGTAATGTTTAACAGTGTTACGGATAAGACATATCTCCTTTACGTGGATTTATAGTGTACGGAGATACTACATATCTAATATTATACGGAAAAGTATATTCAAATATGGAAATAAAACGAGTCAAAAAGGAAACTACTTTCATGGGAATAGAAGACTTAAAAGTCTGACTCGGAAAAGGCAAGGTCTTCTCGGCCTAAAAGTCTGACTCGGAAAAGGAAAGGTCTCCTCAGCCCATATCCTAATATGGTTCTTTAAGTTCTACTTGGAGAAGAAGACGCCCGACCATATAAATATACCACCTCCTAGGAGGAGAGAGCATCGAATCACAACCTTAACTAGACCCACATTAAGATACAGCCAGGAGGAAGACAAGCCCTAATCATTGACATCTACTCATCTAGACATACTCGACGTATCCTAGTTGGCGGGTTAGAATAGCTAACTTGCTCCCACTGTAATCAATATGATACTCTCCACACACACACATACTCACATACATATATATATTATTGTGAAGGAAAAGAAAGATTAATGCATCATAAGTGCGGCGCCCGATCGCCACGTGGACATTCCAGATCAATCCAAAGGGATCAGACGGCCACAGCAAGGAAAGTCCCCACTGGCCATTCCAACCAAGAGGTGGCGGCACATGAAGCCTGATGGTCGCCGACGACGACCATCCAACACGAGAGTGGGATGCGGCGAAGGAAGCTAGGGAGGGAGAAGGAGTGCTTACCGAGCGCATGCGAGGTAGATAGGACGAAGGGAGCACGCTGATGGCGAAGGCCCTCGGGTTGGCGACAATGGTAGCGGTACGGTTCTAGTCTGCGAGCGAGGAGTAGTAGTTGGGTGCCTCTTCATGCTGGGCACAAGAAGAGGGGTTAGGGGATCTTAGGGTGGGTAGAAACTGCGGAGAAGGACGACCGGGGGCCGGTACCGAGGGCGGTGCTCACCTTGCTCAAAGAGGATGGAGTTTCGATTGTATTTGGCGAAGGCAAAGAGGCACCGAGGTACGTGGAGAGCTTTCGAAGCCAGCGGAGCAGGCAGAGCAGCCTGACATGGCTCTAATCGCTAGCGGTAGATGGCTGGAGGCGGCAATCGACAGTGGTAACTCGGGCTCATGGAGAAAGAGGCATTCTGGTGGCCTCTGACTTCAAAGCAGGGGACACCAGCCTACGGCGTGGCACGGCTAGTCACAGCTGCAAGAGGCAGCTGGATGCGGCGAAGCTCACATGACGTGGTGAGGAGAAGGTTATAGGCACGGGGAGCTCGAGCGCGAGTAGGAAAATGAGAGAGGGAGGTGGAAGGGCCTTGATGTGGCCTAGAGGGGGAGAGGATGAATAGGTTGTCACGCCCAGAAATTTAACCCAAATTTCCAGACTATTTTGCGTATTAAATCCCTGTCCAGGACCAGCCAGGGTACACAAAACGACAAGTAATATACAGTTCCAAACGTAAATAAAGCGTAAAATACTTACAGAAGAGGCACTTAGTCCTCACACCGAAACAAAAGCAGCAGCAGCGGAAAAAGGCGATCCTAGCGGGGCTTCAGCTCCACTCCACAGGCAAAACTCAACTGGGGTCTGAGCCTTGGTCCTCTAATTCCATCTTCAGCTCAGAAGCACTACACTTCTAAAAAGGGGGAATAATAGCAAGGCTGAGTACAACCACCGTGCTCAGCAAGCCACACCAACGATGCCGACGTGCAAGGGGATACAAGGAGGGGTTTGTGGCTATTTGCAGAAAGGCAGTTGTAAAACACTTTATTGAGCAAAACAGTAAAACGGTTGGGTAATTAAAGTAATATTG